TCTCAATTCAAGTTGATTTTTCTACTTTTCTATCAATCGAATCACTTTAACCTCTAGACTTCCAAACTTTTTCCTCCAAGTCTCTCTCACTCACTCTCTCTCTCTTTTGTCATTTCCTTTCCCTCTCTGTCACCCAACTCACTCAGCAATATCATGAGAGATTATCTCCACTTGCATTCTCCTTCCTCAACTTCCTTTAGAAGCAAAAAACTTCATCAATACAGTGATTGTATTGATCAATTGAAAAACCTTGATCTTTATAAAAGTAGACACTTTAATGATTAGCTAATCATCAATTTCCAGCATGAAAGCTAATCATGATTAACTAATTATCTCATCACTAAGCTTAAAAGAGCAGATTAAAATAAGAGGAAACCGGAAGATATACTGATCCATCCCTAAAGATGATAAACTTTTTCCCCTTTCATCTCAAAGATAAACTTGAAATCTAATAATTGGATTACCAAAGATTAGATAATGAAAACATGTTCAGTGTATCCATTAAATTGATTATCATTTCCAGATAATCATCTTGACCATCAAGAACAATTAATCATCTACTAATCAATCGCTTATAATCATAATAATCTACTTGAAAGCAATTAACTAATCACATATACAGTTATATATGTAGTCAACTAACCATTTAATCAACCCAACAAAATCCTAAACAAATTGAAACAATAATTAAATCTTAGTAAACTTATTTACTATCAAATTGCTGTGTTGATTTAATTATCTAAATTAAGAGTAACCAAAGTGGTCAAAGTTAATCTTCCTACTGGTCATTTTCAATCACAATGTTTTACTTGATTGTCAGTTAATTTAATCTGAATATTAACTAATTACCAACGAAATTGATTGTCCTCTTATTGAATACACAATAATCAATGGTAATGATCAATATGAAGAGTTGGCAACAATTTAAATTGATCACAATTGAAATACACACAGGAAACAATTGCTTTTCATAGAGACAATTGAAATTTGAAGTAGCAAATTGTAAACAATCAATTTAAATTGTTACAATCAAAATCAAAATCTAATCACTAAGCTAAACAGAAAAATTAAATTGTTCCAATAGTGTATTCATAAGTTGATCTAATTAGACAATTAACTTTACAATTATTAAATTTACTTGAAACTAAATATTATCAAGTTTAATTATCGTTTAAAATGATTGTTCAATCTTAATGATTACTGTTACGTTTAATTATACAACAATTAAATGTTTGATAATTTAAAGTTAATTTAGTTATCATTGGGATAAAATTAATTAACTAAACTAAATTGAAAATTAATCATCATGATGATGGTAAAAGTTAATTAACAATAAAAATAATTGAGGGAAAAAAACTCACAGGCAAAGTTAATTGAATATAAAATTAGTATAAATAGAAATTGAATTATTTAGTTTAATTGATGAGAAGATGAAATTAAATTAACACCAACAATTAACTTTCTTCTCTAAATTGTGATTTAAATCACAAGTAATTTGAGAAAGTTTTGACATTACCAATTTGAATTTCATGGTGATAATAATTCAATCGTGAAGATTGAACATTTCGAGAATAGTGAAAATGAGAGATGAGGAGAAAAAAAGTTCTGATTCATTAAGAAAATGGAATAATCTGAATTAGTAATGAGAGAAAATGTCAAAAATTGAAATGCTGGTGAAAAATCATGATGAATCCATGGTAATGGAGGGGAAGGGCTTGGAATTATTAATAATAATGGTTATCCATAAGTAGATGAAAAAAATCATAATAATAATACATAAAATTCAGCAACAGGAAGGTGAACTTGTATATTGGCTTGAGAGGTGATTTCAAAATTCTGGTGTATTTGCTGGTTGTTTTCATGGTGAAAAAAAAACGATCATGATTATAATTTATTATAATAAATGATGAAAAATTTAACATAATAAAATATATTATCACATTATTATTATTATTTTTGCTTCGTCTTGTTGTTCATTCAATTCTGAATATGAGATGAATTTCAAATGAGTCTATCTGATATAAGCATGATGATGATGAGTTAATGTCACTCTCTCACTCACTCTCTTTCTCACTCTCCCTCTTTATTTTTTTTTCACTGAATCTTATTCATGAAAATGATGAGATGACAAAATTAAATCAAATCAGCTGTTGAAAAAAAGCACAATTGATAAGCAAGCAAAAATTTTCATTCATCTCACTTTTAAAAGGTTATTAAACTATCATGTTTATTGAACTGGTTTCATGTTTCATGGTGATTGTTATATCATGTGTGAGTAAAGTTTTTGAATTTATATTGGTTAATTTTATAAATTAATCTCATGATAATCGTGTGATAAATCAGTGTAAGTGTGTGAGTCTTATTGGTGATTAGATTAATGAATCAAATCTTCAATTTTCACTTGACTTAATTGATCAACCTTTTAATTCATATTATCAATTGTAGTTTGAATTTGAATGTTAATTAATGTTGATTAGAATCTTTTTTTTTTCTTCTCCACCAAGGTGAGAGAGGTGGGAAATGAAGGTGGATTTTAGTTCATTAGTATTGTTGATTAAGAATAAGCTGCAACTAAATTGATTATCATGAAAATGAAGAGAGAGCGAGAGAGAGAGAGGGAAGAAAAAAGTTCCAGCAATTAGAAAAGTCAACTCAGTGGAATAGGAAAAAGTAAAGTTTCCACTCGGAATGAATCAAAGTGGGAAAGTGAAAAGGGAGGGAAAAGTTTATCATCATGTAGACATATTATTCAAATGAATACATGGTAACATCACCAAACTATCACCACAACCAATACTGTCAACGAAAAAACCTCAACAACAATGTTGATGTTAAATTGAAATGTTTATACAAAAGGCAGGAAAACATGGGCTCAGTACTAAGGGTGAGATGGATTTTCAGGGTGAAAGAATCCTTGAGAGAAATGAATAGAAGGAGCAAAAAAAGTGAGAGAGAAAGAGAGGGAGACTGAAATTTCAGCTCAAAACTTTCATGGTGAAAACATCATGAAGAAAAGATGAGAAAAAAGTTATTCTGCCAATCAAAGAATTGATTAACATTATTATTATGGTAAAGTAGAAAATGTAAATTCGAGTGAAAATTTTTTTTGTTCTATTTTCAACTTTATCGAACAAATCGAAGTTAATTAATTAAACTAAAGTGAGAGAGATTGAACGGGAGAGAGAGAGAGAGAAAGTAGAATAAAAAGTGAACGTATAAGACGAAGAAATAAATGAATGTACAGGGTGTTCAGTGAACATTTGGAAAACTTTTCATATCCCGAATGTATTAGAACATTATCTTGTTTTATTTCGAAAATTTGTTTTTTTTTCGAATCTTATTCTGAATCCTTTTCTGTTATTTTAATGTGACATGATCAGTATTCAGCTGAACATTAAATAAAAACCGGAAGATGAAGTTTTCCAAAATCTCTCATGAGGATTTAGCTTGAGAGGATTTTTAGCTTGGATGTTGTTTTTTTATCACCTCACCTATTTGAATGTAATGTAAATGTCGAGTTAGGGTTGGAAAGGTGAAAGAGGTAAAATAGTTCATCTTGAATATAGTTGAAATTGTCAACTTGAAATTTACAGTTAGTTATAAATGAATGACAATTTGTCAAAAGTATTTGTTATATGTAAAAGTCAATACAACTAGAGTATAAATGTAAATAACGGTAAATCAATGGTAACAGTGGTTTTGGTAGATTGTTGTTAGTTTATCATTAACATTTATTTGTACGAATAAATTTTAATCATCTCGAATGAGAAATTAACATTGTTTCAATGTTTTTGTAGAAAATTTTGTTAATTCAAATTTGTTGGGCTGAACTTTTCTCTCCATCACTTTTTTTCATGGGGAATATTTTTCTCTGCTAATATTAATTTTGTCGTTTTCAGTTGAAAACTTTGATGATGTGAACTGAATATGAGTTGATACTTAATTTGATCATTATTTTCCCTACGATGACAATCAATGATAATTAGAGATGATGATGATGGTGATGGTGATGATGGTCTAGATGGAGAAAAGGATGAGGAAGATGCGGAAGGAAAATGTAGGAAATAGGAAGTGGGAGATGGAGAAGAGGAAACCAGAAAGTTGGTTAAATGTAACATGAGTTTGAGAGAAAGTGAAAAATTTGATTCAATTATTGTTATTGAAATTGATGAGAATTTACAATTACATTCAATTAACTGTTGTGTTAATGATGATGACGATGATTAGGGAGGAAGATCACATATGAAAAGATGATAAACTAATATCTTCATAGTTACCATGTTTTTCAGTTTAATTTTCATGATAATGATGATGAGGATAATTTTTTATTCCTCATCTTCTTCATCATCTCTGTCGTTTTGTTTTCTATTGTTGTTGATTTAATGTACTTGATGTTTTTTAAGTGTAAACATTGATTCTGATGATTAAATGAATTGTTCACAATCAATTTGCTATTGTGTCTATTGAACACTTATAATTTTCACCAATTTATCATCATTATCTTCACCGTTTTCATCAAATTCTGTCACAAATTCACCAGCACCGATCATCCAATTTCACCCTCGTTTTTTTTGTAACTTTTTCAATCTCATTGATGATTTCAATTCAATTTCTCAATGAAATCAAGTGAGAGAGAGAGAGACAGAGAGTCAACACCAAAGATACTTGAAACTTTTTCTCTCTCAGCGATTAAATTTTTTTCTAGACATACTAATGAACTCTTGTAATGTATTTTCAGGAGAAAAAAGTTTCAAATTCTAGAATTTCCCTCTCCCTTTTCGATGAACATTACGAATAGAGACAGAAAAAAAATTCGATGGAAAAAGAAAATGTATCATTTTTTTCCCTTCTCTTTGTAATGATAAAATCGATCAGAAGAAACTCATCCATCATGAATTAATATCTAATTATGATCAACAATCAATCTAAATGCAATTAATCAATTCTAATAAATTGTTAACCACAAGAAACTCATTTTACAATATCATCTCTTCCCATAGTTTAACGGCATTACTATTGAAATTCAGGATTCCATTTGCAAATGTAACGGTACTTTCGGATGTTGATGTTCAACCATCAGATGAAAGGTAAGTTTCTTAATTGTTATCACCTTAATTTGAGAAATTTTAATCATGTTACATTAATGAACCAAGGGACAGAGAAATTAATTCAATATCTTTTTAAATGATTTATGCAGAATTGGAAACAATTAACATTTGTTGAAAGTTAATTTACTTTCATTTAATTAATTGATAAGTAAATAGAATGAATTTTACACTTGAAACAATTGAACAATTTACATGAAAATACAATCAAAAGAAAAGTAATAGAATATCAGAATTACTGAATAGCATATATTTCCAGTATTCTCAGTTGTTGAGGGATAATAATTCACTGCAAATGGAATAACATTGATTCAGGGTGAGAAATTTCAACATCAAGTCATGAACAAGGAAATAGAATGAGGAAAAAAACTCAATCTAATTCTGGAGAAACTGAAAAAGTTCATAATGATAAAGAAACAAAAGATTCCATTTCAATTGACTGAATTTAAATTGTGAAAATCTTATCATTTGAGAACAAAGAGAATAAAAAATGAAGAAATTAATATAAATCAGAAAAAGAAGATAGTTGGTGACTGTTGAATAAAACTCAGAATCAGCCTCAGAATTCAGGGTGAGATAAATAATTCAATTCAGCGAAGACAATTAATTGGAAGAAAAATAAGAACCAAACAGTATTCGCCTTTGAACTGTTTGTTTATTTTTTTCTCGTTCGAACCCAAAACAATGTTATAAATTGCTCGAAATGATGATGATGATCATCATCATCATGAGCCCATTATATAAATTCTGTAATTCCCTGTAAAGTGAATATATAAGAATGAACTTTTCTCTCTCCATCTACTGTTATTTATTATCTCTTTTGTGGTTTCTTTTTTATTCTTCTACTACTTATTATTCTGATTCCAATGTTATATCTTTCTCTTTCCTCCTTGCAATCACCTTTTCTCCAATATTATCATGGTGAATTCAGTAAAATGCAATTCCGTAATCTGATTGAAGATTGGATGGAGATTGGCAACGATGAGAATGGTAATCAAAGTAAACCTTCAATAAAGATAACCAAAGAGGAGCTGAATACTTTAAAAGATTTGGTAAGACGACAATAATAAATGCTAAATGATGATGATGATAATATCATAATTTCAAGTTTAAATCCCTTTTTTTAGCACCTACGGATAAGGTACATGAACGGTGGCTTGGAAACTTGATCCACCTTCAATCACACCTTGATTATTAGACAATTTCCTTCCTCATCTAAAAACCGTTAAATTTACATCTCATTTTACCTTTAACTTTGCTCTCTCATTGTTGTCATTGATACACTTGCAATGATAATTTACTTTATGATAACTTTATCATCATCATTAATCTTCCTCATCCTCATGCTCATCTTTTTTTTCCTTACCTGTTATTCTTGTATTTTCATCTTTTCTACCACAGACTAATAGGCATATTCGGTTGAGAGAATTGCTTCTTGAGTACTCCCAAGATGCCTCAATGATATTTATGTAAGTATATTTATTTTAAGTTGTTCTCTTTTTTTTTCATTCATCATCATCTTTTTATCTGCATCTTTCTCATGAAAATCATTTTTCTCTTCAATTTTCTAACGATTCTTTATATTCCCATGTATGTATACCTTTTTTTTTTAAGATGAAATTGAAGCTCAATCAATTAGGTTATTCTGGTATAACTAAGTCAAAATTTTCCAAATGATAATAAATTTTCTGAGTAAATGTTATATAAGATGAAGGGAGTTTGGTGATTGAATTGATATAAATCCATGAATAGAATGCTAGTCAAGGATGAAATACTCTTGCCTTTGAAAGTCGTTTTTGCTCTCTCTCTCTCTCTCTCTCTCTCTCTCTCTCTCTCTCTCTCTCATCCTCATCTGCTCTCTTTCATGAAAGAATGTGCTCATTTTTCATGGGGATAAATGCTGGAAACAGATTCTTTCAGATTTCAACTGAGATAGAATTGAAAATGTTACAATTTGCATCACTTTTTTACTTTATTCTGATGCCAAGGTGGAAAATAAATCACCGTAAATAATATCATAATGATCGCCATATATTGAACACTATTATTAAATTATCCAATAGAATATCGGTTATTATCAGTCAATATTATTAAATCTTCTTCTTAAGTTCACGAACTTTATGCAAATAAACATATTCGATAGATGAATCCATATTTTCCAATTGAATTTCTAACCTTATATGTAAACCATTTTTTCCTCTCATTTTTCACCAACAGGACTTTACCTATTCCTCGGCGGGATTGTACCTCAGCTCCGCTCTACATGGCCTGGTTAGAGATGTTGACCCAAAATATGCCACCGTTTATATTGGTTCGTGGTAATCAGACCAACGTGTTAACCTTTTACTGTTGAAAAAATTGTTCTCCATCATTTAGAACTCGAACAATTTTCAATCCTAATCAATCATCATGAATTGAAATCGCTGAATGATTATCATGATCACCATTATTATTTACCTTTCATCATCATTAGTTTATTATTATTATTCTTATTATTATTATCTTTTAATTGCTTCCATCCAAAGAGCATAAACATTTTCCATTAGAATCAATTTTCTTTAGCAATTAACTTTGCATTTTTTTCTTCTCTCATTTTTTTGGCTAAATTGTTTAGATTTTTGCTCTTTTCTTTTCGTTTCTCAATCAACTATTAATTATTTCAATAGATAATTTTGATTAATCGTCTTAATTGTTGCCACTTCTCAGTTGATGATTTTCAATCAACACTTCATGTTATATATATAAACCATTTCATTCATTATCATCCTTCATCATTATCCTAAATTGACACAATCAATTAACTATTATCAACTTATATAAAAGTCTCTCTCTATATATAATTAATTGATAACGAAATTCAATTCCCTCGAAAAAAAGTATTTTGTAAAATTGACTCTTAAACAATCAAAACCACAATTTAAAATTTCATTTCTTATCAATTGAAATTACGAAAAATAAATGATACCAAAACGTTTTATTCAAGAATCAATTTCGTCTCTTTTATTATTATATTTTGCACCTCGAATAACTTGTTGACTTGTTCGTAAGTCTTGGGAAAAGTTCACAAAAGTTTTCGAGAAATCTTTCTTTCCAAAACTCTTAATGACATCTATTGATATTCTTAACAACTTTCCACTCAACACTATTACGATAGCAATGGAAACTATCCAGGAACTTATTCCATTAATTAGTTACTCACAAATCATTCAAAATCTTTATTGTCAAGAAAATTTTCCATTACATTGTCTTGATAACAATTAGAATTCACTCCAATCATTATATTGAACCAACAAGCATCGAGTTTCCAAATCTCGCGGAATTTGTCAAATTCAATTCGTGCCACTAGTTGGCAGCACTTTGTCGATTCGAAAAATTTTCGTTCATATTTCCATCGCCATCTAGTATCAGTTGTGTGCACGAAGTACAAGCTACGAAATTTGAAGTATCCAAAGAAAAGTCAATTGTGCTTAGTGAGTAACAATTAGTTAATTATTTGAAAATAAACATTTGAATTTATATTTTTCAACTGATATTTGAATGTCTAAAAAGTTAGCATGAAGTCTCATGCTATGGAAGCTAATATGAAGACAATTACAAGAGAGAGAAGAAAAGTTTTTAAAGTTTTTTCGTTTCAAACAATTATCCAAATGAGACTTGAATGAAACCAAGAAATTAAAGAAAAGTGAAAATTGTGGACTCATGTTGTGGGTTGACGTTTTTCATGAATGACCGACCAACCATTAATTCAGTGATTTAAAAGCTAATAACAACAAGAAAAAGTGATGTACAAGCAAAAGCGAGTGAGAGAGGGAGACAAAGATTAACAAAGTATAAAATCATAAAGATGATGATTAAATCCAATTTCATCTTTGATTAAAACCACCTTACCTTTGCATCTTTCATCTTAATCATCATCATCATCATCATTATCATCATCAACAACAGCATTAATACCGTCCCTTGGTTCAACTTTCATTTTCTTCCTCTTCAACCACCATTTTTTTTCCTCCTCACATCTTTTTTGAATCTTCTTTCTCCATCATCATTACCACTACCTCCTCCTCCTCCTTTTCATCCTCATCCTCTCCTCCCCTGAGGCTGATTTCTAGGGTCTCCCTTGACTTGACAAGAAATTATCAACTTCCGCTCCTTTCTACCTTCATATATGTATTAGTTAATTTATCTTTTGTCTTCATCATGAATAGACCTGTTTAACCATCAAACCAACCGTGGTTGTCGCTTCAATTGTAATACAAGAGAGAGAGAGAGAGAGAGAGAGAGAGAGAGAGAGAGAGAGAGAGAGAGAGAGAGAGAGATCACATTGGAAGATTTAATCATCGTCTTCCAAAATCAACGAGGTGTAGGACCAACGAGAGAGGGAAGATGAACGAAAAGAAAATGTCTGTAAACTTCCGTTGAGAATTATATTTGAAAAGGAAAATCTATCATCATCATCCTCATCATCATAAGAAAAGGAACTAGATTAAAAAAAGATGATGAAGATTAATAAGAAAGAAAAGAATTGAAAAATATAAGAGAAAGAAGATAAATAAACAAACATGATGACAATTACGAGGAAAACAATCAACGGACATTTGGTCAATTACATTGTGATTAAATAATAGCACAATTGTTACAAATCTAATCTAAATCTTGCTTGAGGTTAGAATCATGTTAATCTAGTTCATTCATTTGTAGGCAATTGTATTAGGAAAATGTTCACCAATCAATTCAATTTTCTAATAACAGTTTTGTATAATAACAAATAGAAGGGAAAAAAATATTATTCAACTTCAAATTCGAGGTGAAAACTTTCCAACTAATATAATATTCAATTCTAATCCAATGGTAAATATTGACATAAGCACAACATCAACAATCCAATGTATCCAATAAGTATAATAATAAAGTCTATTCATGAATAATAACATTTAAAACTTTTTTTTTCTCTCCATCCTCCTCTCAATTTTTACCTTTTGTTACATTAGAACTTGAAATTTACATATTCGAGGAAAAAAGTTTTCATTTCATTTTCTTTCCATTGATACAAATTGTTCAACTGAAAACTACTTTTTTCCTTCAACTCAATTAGTTCTAATTTAGTTCTAATTGTAAACACTCACATTAAAGTAATTGGACTAATGTGGTTGCAAAGTTTTCTTCCCGAATTCATTTATCATTGAAGATGAAATCTATCGGTGAATGTTATCCATGTGTAAGTCAAACAGCAATTAACTAATCAACCTGATTCTCTCTCTCTCTCTCTATCTCTTATGATTAGTTAATTGTTACACAGGGAAAAAAATTTGATTGTTTCTCCATTTTGGATCCATTAATTTGTACGTGCGTGTCAAAGGTAAAACTTATAATTGTTTGTTGTGATATGTAAAGGAAAATGATGAAATAAAAAAAAAACAAGGCCTCATGAGAGGATGAGGATGCTCACGAAATTTAGTCTTCATCAACTTCATCTTAATCAACATATGTAATTTACAAATCAAGTTAATATCCGGTGAGACTAATTTTGAGGTCCAATCACTTGGTCACTTCCGTTAAGATTAACAATATAATCGAGGGGATAATTTTACAAACTGGACAGGGAATGGTCAACTTGTAATAGTAATAATAACAACTGTCTTTTCATTAATGTTTTCATAGCCTTAGGGTAAAATATTGATCCAAGTATTAGATGTTTAAATTACTCTGTTATTGAGATTTTCTCATTTCTCTTTGATTAATTGAAAGGAAAATGGTCAATTGAAGGATAACGTGTCTTTTATTAAATTGACCATTACAAAAGTTTTACTATTTACCTTTTGTACATGATAATCAACAACAATCAAGGTAAATTTTGGTGTGTTTTCTCCCTCAACTGTTAACCTCATATTTACCCTCAACTAACTAACCTCAGTTCTTTGTTTACTAACCCTTTAAGTTTTCAATAAAAATAATTAAGTGCTAATTAAAAACTACCTCTACCTTAGCAATTAGTTCATCCTTTCTCGGAATTCCCTGGTAGGGTTGTACCTCGTACATACTGTAAGGGTGAGAAATAATCTCCTCAACTCTTCTTGATGATTCTCATGAATCTCTTTGGAACTCGAATTCCCTTTTCGTTTCTTTTAAATTTTCATTAATTTCTTTCAAAAGTTAATTTGCTCTTTTAATTGTCATTTTAGTAAGAGACAAATTTTCTCTTTCTTTTATCTTCTTTTTAATCTTATCATTAATTGTATTAATAAGCCAAAAGGTTAGATTATTACTAATACCTGTAATAATGCTTTCTAAAGCTAAACGGTTATGATTAACCTCATTGGTAATTTGATTAACCTTTATTAGTTAATCTATACGTCTCGAGACAAGAAGATAATCTTCTGTTTCCATCAATGGCGTCTTCAAGCTTATTAAGTCTCCCTAAAAATTTTGATTACTTTGTTTAATTATCTTATCAAAAATATTAAGTTTAATCTGAACTCTCAAGTTGTTAAGTTGAGATTTTCATCAATATTGTTCTTGTTCAACTCTAGTTGAATTTTAATATTGTTTTCAATAAACTTCATGATTACTTCAGTAATTCTTTGTATCTCTACAATTCTGATTTTCTACATTTAATTGTTGATAACTCGAGTTATTTGAGTGAGAGATCCTGTATCCGAACCCTTAAGATTAGAGAAAGGCTAATCGCAATCTCTGGTTTATTACCAATTCTCTATCCTCTTGGATAATCTTCGTTAGTTCCGTCTAACATTTCGAGAATTCCATTTCTCATTCCTTTCATCTGGCGACCTAGGCAGGATCTCTTAACTCTTCCTTCTTACTTGTGTTCTATTCTTTGTGAATTATAATCAACATGCCTAAAGGTGTACGAAAATCTCCCACCGTAGAGAATCTTCTCGAAAAGATTGATCTTCCTCAAATGAAGACTCATCTCAATCAATGGAAAGTTTCCGCTCCAACGGATAATCTTGCTACAAAACGGTTTGTAGAATCTATCCAAACATTTTATCTTCTTAATGGTGACGAAATCGATGACATCGATGTTTACAACCTTCCTGAAGAAGAATTCGGAAGTATTACTTTCCCTGAATGGATCAAAACACTCCGTTCATCTGGTTTGAATGAATCTGAACTCCATAGACTCTTATCTTCTGTTCGTGATTTTGAAACTCTTGTGTCACTTACTACTGACGAATTCAACGCCTTGGAATTACCTCTTGGTACTATGAAAAAGGTTCATAAATTCATCGTCGACAATGGTGGTAATAGTGAATTTGTTCCCGTTACACGACCTCTTGGCCCTATGGACGATTCGTCTTCTCTCATTCATCCTCCTTCTGATTTGGTTTCAAGTCTAAATTTCATCGCTGAGAAAATGGCTTCTTCTTCCAAATCCCATATTCCAGATCCTGTTGTTCCTCCATTCAAGAAAGGAGATAAAATGAAGGACTGGGTCCGATTCACTGTGAATCGATTGAAACTTGAACCCGTTGACGACAACACTCGTCTTCGATGTTTTAAAAAGGCTCTAGCTCATGAAATCTTCGATTTACTTGAGTCTCTCGGTAACATTAGTGAATATCAAGACTACCTCGAAGCTGTTAACCTTAAATTGGATATTCCTTCTTTATCCGCCGGTGCAGATTATGCTCTTGACTCGTGTCGTTACCAATTCAAAGAACCTCCTGCTACTTTTATCACCAACCTTAAAACATTGGTTCGTGACTCTCTTGGTGAACTTCCAACTAAAGCCTGGCTCCACCAAATTCTATCACATATCCCTTACGATATCAAACGTGAAATTTATAAGACTGGTGCCCAGAAATCGGAAGAATCGATTCTTGATCATCTTTACCGTATCTACTATGATAAGCAAAAATCTAATGATACTTCTAAGTACCAACGTGATCAACGTCATCCTCGATCCAAGTCCAAAGAAAATCCTTTATCAGATAAAGATAAAACTGGTAAATTCTGTCGCTACTGTA